TTGCCAGGTAAAACGATCGCGCATTTAATTTTTCCCAGTAACATAGTAATCTTTGCATTATTATGCAAATTTTAAAATTCGACCTTAATCTCCTTACATTTTTATATAACTGCTATAAACCGGTGTCGAAGTATTAAATAAAAAATCTTGCCCAGATTTTGAATTATTCTCTCAATTCTTTTGTATCCTGGATTTTAGGCTGCATTATCCAAGGTTGTGGCTGCAGCTTACCTAGATGCTGTTGCCTCATTAAGCGCTTCACAGCATCCGAATACTGGAACACCAGTCACTGGCTCTGGTAATGTGGCTTCAACTGTCACTGGTTTGAGTGGTTTGTCGGGTTTATCCGAGCAACAACTGGAGGCTGTTGCTGCTTTGGCTAGTCTTTATCAATCCAGTCACTCTGGTTCTTTTGGATTTGCCAACATAACTAGCAGTGGAAGTGGTAACGGAAGTGGTATTATGCCGGTTTACTCAGTAGCTCAGCCTTCTACTTCTCTTCACACAGGACACAATGTCACTGGACTTTCTACTTGTCCACATACAGACAACACTGGTTTACCTACTATTACCACAGCTACCAATGCAAATGTCAACCTTTCTGCTCAACAGCAGCAGCATATTGCTATTTTATCGAAATATTTTAATTTAACTAGCCAGAGTCTCGTCTCTGCTGCGAATAACTCTGTGCAGCCTATTCCAACGTCCTCTGGCTTAATTAGGCTCCCGGGTGAGTTAAATCTTTCTGATTGCCATTAACTAGCATTGTAAATCATTGTATGCCGCGAAAACTTTCTAGACTGATAATCTGAAATTGTTCGTCGCATGCATTTAAGATGAAGTTCCTTTGCTATATTTTGATATTATACTGCAGCACCCGGCTCTGCTGTTGCAAGCGCTATTCATGGTACAAGTACTACCTTACCAAGTAGTGTATACGGACTTCCGGCGGCTGCCCTCAGCTCAGCCTCACCAACTCAACTCCTGCGTTTGGGCTCACAAGCCAGCAACACTGCTTCTGTTTCAATCATTTCATCAGTCCCATTTACTTCTATTCCTACTTCTCATCTCTGTAAGTAAACATTTTTAGGACTTGAAATGCCACTACATCCATGGAGTATTTTATAAATTTGAATAGCAAGCCTTAAGACTAACCACTCTTCACTATATCCTAACCGACTTGTTTATTTTACTCAACGCTTAAATAATCCCTTAATATGTTTATTCTTGATGCTTATGCTATACCTTCCATCTAGCTTATCAATTTTATAATAACTTTGCATTATTCTTTCAGGCTCCAACAGTGGCAACCTAAGTGGGGCTCTCGTGTCTTCTCCTTCCGTGACATGCCTAGTTCCGATTTCACAAAACCCCGCATCACTGGTCAATTCTCTCTCAGCTGCCGCTGCAATACCGGCTTCTGTGGTGCCCTCTACTACAATTTCCTGTTCCAATGTCACCTTTTCTTTTCCAGCCTCTTTGTCTACAGTCACATATCCATCAGGGCTAGCATCAATAGCTGGAACTTCCTCTCTTGCATCTGGGGGAACAACATCTACAACTGCGATGACTACTCATCCTATAACTGTCCTTCCTTCTCCCACAGCATCTTCTCTGTTGCCACCAGCACCAACCAGTTATAGAGGCAGTATTACCACCGGCCAGTCGGCACAGCAAATACAGCTCCAGGCAGCTCAACAAGCGCAGCAACAGGTATATGAAACGTTATCAATTTCCTGTATTCGCTGTTATCTAAACTCGTTAAATTAGCAAATCTCTCGTTATTGATATGTTCCCTTTTATAAAAGGGAATTCATCAATAACGAATTCCTGTAGTTTAAGGGCAGAGATTCTACTCCATGTAGAAGTGGGTTGACCTCGTTTTCGCAACTTGGCCTTGTTATCAAGGCGACTTAGCTGAACTCACCTTGTCCT